CGAAAATGTTATTTGGAAATGCCGAATATTTTTATTCGATTTTTGTGAAATGACCCTGCAAATAAATCGAATAGAAGCTATACTGTATAGTAAGTAATTATAAATTTACTATAAAATATTTTTTCAAGACAGGTTTTTCCAAACGCGACAGCTTTTTCGCATGACTGTAATATAAAGCGAATTATTATTATTATATTGATCATTTTCCATTATTTTAAAAACATAACCAAATCATAATGAAATTATAAATATATAATAATAAATCTATAAATTTATTATTTTTCAATCATATTTTCAATTAAAACTTCAAATTATTTACTAAATTTTTACAAATGCTTCAAAATAAAAATATCAAATGTACAGTTAATGTAAAAAGTGGGATGCTGAGAAAAAGTGGGATGCTAATCTAAATATTAATTAATTTAATATTTTTAATAATAAATAAATAATATAAAATTATTTTGGTTTTTTCATTTTATTAATTTTTCGATTAATAATTAATATTAAAATTAATAGTAATTTTATTATTTTTAAATTTAAATTAACCAATAGTTAGGAGCATCCTCCTTTTTCTAGCATCCCCATATTTCCTTTTACTGTAATAACAATTACAGTTGACCAAATAATTATCAGAGAGCACCAGAAAACTGTCGTTCAGCAGAAAATAGTCGTACACATTATTTTAAAATGTTTTTCTCTATTAAGTCGGGTTATTTTTTTTTCAAAACCCGATTATTTTCCTGATTGTTTAGTCAAATTTTATATGTGAAAAAATATTCCCGATTTTTTGGTTTGTTTGATACTAAAAACACAAGTGTACAACAATTTTCTTGCTGTACGACTATTTTCTGTTGGTCTTTATATATAAAGCAGTAAATGTATATAAATAAAACAAGCTAAATAAAGATACAAAAAACATCAAAATAATTGATTGTTTTTTATTTAGCACCAATAACAATATAAATCTAAAATTGTTATTCCATGAAATTTGTGATGTTGTTTTTGTTAATTACAGTTGCTATTTCTGTGAATTTTGCAGAAGTCGAGTGGTGCAAATATCAAAACAAACTTGAATGCTGCAAATTAGGAGAAAAATGTTCACCACATTACCAATGGAGTTTATCTAATAACCAAGTAGAGTTGCCTTATATCACTGATGGGTTTACCATTAAATGTGAATTTAATACTGAACTCAATATCACAATCAACAAGAATTCTTTTTATTCATTGAAATTTGATGAAATTGGGAATTACAATTACTCTAAAAACAGCAACTCTTTCATAATTGGACCAAACAAAATACTTAAAGATTCAATTAGTGTTAATCAAAAAGGAACAACAAAAGGGTCTTGCGCAAATTGCAAAGTTTGTGTTGGAACAACATTACTTTGCTCAGAATGTAATGATGGTTATTATCTGAGCTCTGGTTCATGTTTTAAATGTCATTCATATTGTGCAACGTGTTTCAATTCATCATACACTGGGTGTTATACATGTAATAATGGGTATTATTAACACAGGTTTCGAAATGTCTTAGTTGTTCATATGTTTGTGCAACATGTTTTAATTCATCGAGTTACGGATGTTACACGTGTCGTGATGGATATTATTTAACACAAGTCTCGAGGTGTTATACTTGTTCATATGCCTGTGCAACTTGTTTTGGTTCTTTAAGTTCCAATTGTAATTCATGTAAAATTAATTATTACATGTCAGCCCCAAGCACGTGTACAAGTTGTCATTCTTATTGTGCAACATGTTTTAACACTTCATCAACTGGATGTTACACATGTAGAACAAATTATTATTTATCTGGGCCATATACATGTTCTTCTTGTTCATCGTCGTGCGCAACTTGTTTTAATTCATCAAGGACTGGATGTTACAGTTGTAGACAGGGATATTATTTAACAGGAAACTCAACATGCAACTCGTGTTCGTATCCATGTGGAGCATGTTTTAATGGGTTAAGTTCGGGATGTTATTATTGTAAATCAGGATACTATCTGATTGGAAACTCAACATGTGCCAATTGCTATGTTGGTTGTTCTGAATGTTATGGGGGTTCAAACGCGGCTTGTTATGGTTGTAATTATGGTTTTTATTATGTATATTACGATACATGTCTCCAATGTCCATTTCCTTGTGTCACTTGTATGGATTCAACAACATGTTTAACATGTGCTGAATCATATTTCTTGTTGGGTTCAGAATGTTTAAAATGTGATGATTCTTGTTATTCATGTGCTGGGACGTACCCAAACAATTGTTTAACTTGTCGTTATTATTATTATTACTTGTCTAATGGGTATTGCCTTAAATGTGATTCCACTTGTTTAAGATGTAATGGATCAAACTCAAACAATTGTTTATCATGTATTTCTGGATATTCCTTGTTAAATGGGTATTGCATCAAATGTGACTCTTCTTGTAGAACATGTAATGGAATTAATGCAAACAATTGTTTGACATGTCCAAGTTATTATTATTATTTAAGTGGATCTTGTTTTAAATGCAGTTCAAATTGCAGTACTTGTAATGGAGTAAATGAAAACAATTGCCTAACATGCAAAATATATTTTTATTTAACAAATGGATATTGTCAACCTTGTGACTCGAGTTGTAATAAATGTAATGGGGCAGCTGCAAACAATTGTTTGTCGTGTAAAACTGGGTATTATTTATCAAATGGATATTGTTTTAAATGTAACAGTAATTGTAATGCATGTGTTGGAACAAGTACAAATTGCACTAGTTGTAATTATAATTTTTATCTTTCAAATAACGTATGTTATGAGTGTCATTCGGAGTGTGGTGGGTGTAATGGCCCGGAACGAACAAATTGTACTTGGTGTGGTGAAGGGTTTTATCTTGACAGTTTTCATGGGAAATATAATAACACATGTCAACCATGTGCAAATGGTGTCTAAATTGTGAAAGCAATGAGTATTGTTGGGGTTGCAGTGAAGGGTATTTTGTTGTTGATGCGAGTTACTGTGAATTGTGTTGGGTACAAAATTGTCGATATTGTAATTATGATTTGTGTTATGAATGTTATGATGGATATTATTTACTCGGCTATGAATGTCACAAATGTCCAAGTAGTTGCACAACATGTTGGGGTTCAAATACAATAGAATGCTATAGTTGTGTGGATGGATATTACATTTCTTCAAATGAATGTCTTTCTTGTTCATCATCATGTCAGACATGTATCTCTAATTCAACAAATTGTTTATCATGCGTACAAGGAGAGCGATATTTATGGAACAACCAATGTCTAAGTTGTAGTAATTGTGTGTCTGGGCATTGTATATCCAACACAACATTATGTGATATGTGTCAAGCTGGTTATTATTTGGTCAATAAAATATGTGTTGCATGTGATTCAAATTGTGCAACATGTTCCGAGTCTTCATCAAATTGTCTTTCTTGTAAATATGGTACATATCTAGTTGGTTCTTTTTGTGTCACATGCGATACAAATTGTGCTTTAACATATTGTAACGTTTTATTTGGTTGTACCAAATGTCTTGTTGGATATTACCCAAAAAACAAGAGATGTTCTCAATGTAATCAAATCACAAATTGTGTAACTTGTAGCCAAACAGAAGAAAAATGTTTGACCTGTACAAGTGGTATTTCATATGTGAATTCCAGTGGTTTGTGTTCATTGTGTGATTGGACATGTTCAACTTGCAACACCAATGGTACTTGTAATGGTTGTTCGACAAATTATGTTCCTTTTCCTGTTAACAACAGAACGTGTCAGTTGTGTCGATCTTTTGATCCAAATTGTGATGTTTGTGGAGACAACAAAAATCGAGTTTGTACGTCTTGTGATACAAATTACTATATTAACGCGCAAAACACATGTTCTCAATGTGACACAACATGCGCATATAACGGTTGCAATAAAAAC